GACTAATCTGTTTATATGAATAACCCATACAGTTTTATGCATGTACATTGTCGTGTTTTCTATTTTGTTTTACTCTTTGATTTATAATTAATTTTAATTTAGCAATAAAATTTACTTTTTTCGAAAAAAGTAACATGAAATGCTGTTGAGCATTCAGTTATCTTGAACCCCCCCACCCCCACCCCAAATGTAGTCATTCAAATTGCTATGTGCATGTTAAGGAGTAATAATTTGGTAACAAACAAACAAACAAAAAATGGAGGTGGTAAGCATGCTGTCAATTAAAACCTGTTTTTTTTTTTTTCATCATCGATAACTGGTGAATGTTTGAATTTTAATCTGAAAGTAAACAAACTGTGTTGAGCGTGTAATAAAGGTTTTAATTTCAGAATCCAAATTTACTGTTGCATCCTGCAAATTTCTCTCTCGTTTTTCAAGTTGTTTCTTATAATGCATTGTACTGACCACCAAAGTCAAGCAGTCATCAAATTGATGCTTTATTAACCTTTATCAGGGCAAGGGTTGGTAAGAAGCCATCTATGTTCTGAGAAAGGCACGCTGTTTACCAATCTAAACTAAAACAATACAATCACACAACTAAAGCTTATGCCACACTTCGAGCAATGTACAAACTTGTTCAAGATAGATATGCAAGGCTCATCGGCACTGATGAATACATTTTCAGCGCAACCCAAGACCCAAAACTGAGCAGTAACATAGAAGAGACGACTATGAAATTCAGATCTCCGAGAAAAATGAACTGATTGAACAATTTCTCGAATCGCATGACCCTTCCGTACTGAGAAATGCTGCAACCGAAAATCCCAATGCCTCGTGTATCACCGGAAAGCCAGTCTCCGTGCAACCTCATTCTAAACTGAGATCAATCAACTTACTACAAGGTCCACGTCTTCTTTTCTCACTTTAACTTTGGCAAGTTCTTGTTCTCTGTAAAAAAACAAAACAAATCTTTAGTGTCACCAAACACAGTTTTCTAAAAATGACTTACTGTAACATAGCTAGCTACTCTATTAAATGTATCTTCAGAGTATCGCAAGGGCGTAGTGCAGTACTGCACGAGGGCATACTTTGCTGTATTCTCGTGATACCCTTATTATTTTTTTCACTTGTAGTGATAATTTAAAGAGCAGTGGTTGTTGCACCGTGCATGTGCAAGATAGGGGTCTCATATAAACAGATATGGCGATTTTGACCAATGAGTAGCAGACGCAGACCAATGAGTACACAATGAGACTTTACAAGGCTTCAATTAGATGCAGAAAATCAATGTTGATCAACACAAACAACGACAACCACCACCCTTTAATGAGAGATTCATAAATGTTTTGCACAGGGCAGGTGATTCTATTCTCTTTGTGCACTATAGCACTTCTGCATTCAATGTGAACAAAAAAAGTATGAAAATATGATGTCAACTCATCAATGTCAGTGATGCAAAGCAAACTTTTAGAAAAGTACTGATACAGTTTTATGAAACGACAAATTCTATTATTTTAGTGCTATATTGATGTACTGTAAAATACTTTATTTTAGCTGAAATTAATTTTCGCTGAATAGACTGCTTTGTATGGATTTTATTTTCATTGATTTTTGATGAGTTGAATGTAAAATTTAGAAAAAAAGGTATATTCACTGGATTTTATTTTCACTGAATTATTTCTTCAACGAAAATAGGGAAAATTAATTCTAAGCGAAAATAAAGTATTCTACAGTATAATATGGGGTAATTATAAGGATACTGCAAAGTATGCACGAAGACAGTACAGTGGGAGTATTGACCAACGTGCAGCGGAGGTCGATGAGACAGCGTACTGTCTGAGTGTATACGTTGCATAATAATCATATTATTATACATCTTTTCCTCCCAGGAACAGAGGAGAACAGAACAGAACAGATTTAGCTTAGCAAACTTCTTTGTGTGGGGCCGGACCCCACAAACCCTGAGGGCAGCCATGTTTCTTTTTATTATTGGAGGTCGCTTACACCCGCAATCGTTCCATATTTGGAATTCGTGTTTCCTAATATGGTAGGATGAAAACACCAAGTGCAATACCGCAAAATTATGGCACGCTGTATCTGTGGCGTTACGGTGACAGATGTATAATAATAACATTTATTAATTTGTATTTTAGTTAGTGGTTGTTTGTGTGGACATTAACTCATGGTTTGAAATACTTATTGCTTGATGGCGCCAACAACAGAACAGAGAGAAGTTAGACAGAATAGCCAATGAGCATGTAACCTACTTATACCTGCCACTAGCTACAACAGTACAGAGGGAGGTTAGACAGAACAGCAAATGAACATGTACACTACTTATAATAAATCATTTTCCGTACACTGCGAGAATCACGCGTTATGCGGGAAATCGAACGTAAAAACAGGACAAACAAAGGTCATAGCGTCGTAGTCGCGTCAAACATCGCATGGGATATGACAAATGCGAAAGTATTTCGGGGACATTTCCATGCTTAATAATGTGCTGTACACATTTGATGATAGGCAATTTCGATTAAGTAAGGGTATTCGGAAGCAATATTCCTCTGTCAAAGATCGGCCGGTCAATGTAAGCTGCGAAATAAAGAAATTCTAGTTCAAAATCAATTCGTTCGATTTTTGCGGCAGACGTTCTACCCGCGTCTTTCATGCATCTCGCGAGATCTCGCAATGGTACGGAAAATCACCTATTGCCACTAGCTACAACAGTACAGAGGGAGGTTAAACAGAATAGCCTCATCAGCCAATGAACATGCATTTTACTTATTCGGCTGATCTGCACTGGCTCGGAAGATGAATTCTGATTGGCTAAAAAAACAAAAAAACTTGTGGCGTTGAATGCACGTTCATTGTCAGTATTGTTATGCAAATTCAAACTAGCTAATCATTTACAACCTTCCGAGCCAGTGCAGATTAGCCCTACTTATTGATGGTGTCATCAACAGGACAGAAGGTTAGATGGAACAGCCTCGTCAGCCAATGAGCATGCATTTTACTCAATGCCCGACTACCAGTACACATATAGTGTGGAATAAGTTTACAAATAAATAATGGTTCTCACCGCTGTGCTCTCGCTGCTTTTTCTTTCTTAATTTTATCTCCTAGATGACTCATAGCCTGTAGAGGACACAAAGATACAATAAAGAGTGATGACATCACAAAATTTACAGTATCTCAAATACAATTGCATGGCAGAATCAAAGAAAGCTTAGAAAGAACTCCCGTGTGCTGAGATTATTGGAGACACATTAATTCAAAATTACTTGAACTTGAGATATTGATGGAAATGCAGAAAACTAATTATGCAAATAAGGTAACTAATATGAACACATTTAAGTGTAAAACTGAAATGTTATGATTAGTACTTGAGATATCAGTGGAAAAGCCGAAAATTGATTAATCATTATGCAAATTAGGTAATTAATATAAACAGATTTTTACCCAAAACTAATGAAATCTGTGCATTAGATCAGAGCATCCATGTGCCAAGTTTCATCAAAGTCCAATGAGTGGTTCTTCAAATATCAGTGGAACAGTCATGGAACAGCTTAAAATCAGGTAATTATCATGCAAATTAGGTATTTAATATTCATAGATTTTTACCCAAAACAAATCAAATCTGTGCATTAGTTCAGAGCATCCATGTACCAAGTTTCATCAAAATCCAATGAGTGGTTCTTCATATATCAGTGGAACAGTCATGGAACAGCTAAAAATCAGCTAATTATCATGCAAATTAGGTAATTAATATTCATAGATTTTTACCAAAACCTAATCAACTCTGCGCATTATCCCAGAGCATCTATGTACCAAGTTTCACCAAAATTTGATTAGTGGAACAAAAAAAGTGACATACATACATACATACATACATACATACTACTACAGACTACATACAGAC